TTAGGTCCCTGTATGACCGGTGTCAGAGCCTGGTCCGCATCGCCGGCAGTAAGTCGGGCTTGTTCCCGGTGAGAGTTGGACTCCGCCAAGTTTGCCCTTTGTCACAGATTCTGTTCATAACTTTTATGGACAGAATTTCTAGGTGCAGCCAAGGTGTTGAGGGGATCTGCTTTGGTGGCCGTAGGATTGCTTCTCTGCTTTTTGCAGATGATATGGTCTTATTGGCTTCATCAGATCGTGATCTACAGCTTTCGCTAGAGCGGTTCGCTGCCGAATGCGACGCGGCCGGGATGAAGATCAGTTCCTCCAAATCCGAGGCCATGGTCTTGAGCTGGAAATTGGTAGAGTGCCCTCTCCTGGTCAGGGAGGAGGTCCTACCCTCATCTATGGTCACAAGCTTTGGGTTGTGACCGAAAGAATGAGATCTCGGATACAAGCGGCTGAAATGAGTTTTCTCCGCATGGTGTCTGGGCTCTCCCTTAGAGATAGGGTGAGAAGCTCGATCATCCGGGAGGGACTCAGAGTAGAGCCGCTGCTTCTCCACGTCAAGAGGAGCCAGTTGAGGTGGCTTGGGCATCTGTTTAGGATGCCTTCTGGACGCCTCCCTGGTGAGGTGTTCCGGACACGTCCCACCGGAAGGAGGCCCAGAGGAAGACCCAGGACATGCTGGAGAGACTATATTTCTCTGCTGACCTGGGAACGCCTTGGGATTCCCCCAGAAGAGCTGGCCCAAGTGGCTGGGGAGAGGGAAGTCTGGGCCTCCCTACTTAGGCTGCTACCCCCGTGACCCGACCCTGGATAAGCGGAAGAAAATGGATGGATATGGGATAGCAATGCTATTTTTTTGGTTAGTTGTGTGGGCACAACTAATCAAAAAGTTAGCTTTGCTAACCACTATAATATAATAAGACATAAGTGCTGTGTGTTGTCATGTTGGGCGCTGTGGCTGAGTGGTTAGAGCAGTCGTTCTCCAATGCAAGAGTCGGGGGTTCGAATCCACCAGCAGTCACATGTCGAAGTGTCCCTGGGCAAGACACTGAACCCCTCATAGCCTCTGATGTGTATCCCATCAGTGTATGAATGTGATCTAAAAGCACTGATTAGTCTCTTTAGAATTATTTGTTCAATTAGCATTGTAGTGATCTAGTAGAGTGCTGTATGAATGGATAAAGGAGGACACAGATTGTAGTGTAAAGTGCTTTGAGTGTCTTGAAATAAGATAGAAAGGCGCTATATAAGTACAGTCCATTTACCATTTACCATCATTATATGTTTCCATACAATGACAAAATGAGTTCCTGCATTTAACCCATCACACCTGAGATACACCCAGGTGGAGCAGTGGGCAGCTATGTAAGCACCCAGGGAGCAATTAGGGATTGGGTGTCTTGCTCGGGGACACCACGACATGTGGGCATGACAGGGAGTAGAACCGCAACATTTTTGTCTCGGGTCAGCTGCCCTACCTCTACACCTTACGTGTCAAACTCAAGGCCCAGGGGCCAAATGTGGCCCTCGTTGACATATTATCTGGCCCCCAAGATGATATGTGAAACGTACAATACTTCTATCTCTTGAATTTTTTCAGTAATCTTTAATTAGGATGTAGAAAGCACAACAGAGAACATCAAATGAGACCAATCAAACTCTTGTTGAGGAACCTGTGACCAAGAAAAGATGCTGGGTATCTGATTTGAGTTAATGTAGTTTCTGAAATTGGCCCTTAGTTTGAAAAAGGTTTTAATTTTGGCCCGTTTTGTAAGTGGGTTTGACACCTCTGCTCTACACCATCTCAGTCCACTAATTCACAAACTTAAGAATTAGCTTTGCTAATGCTAAACCTCTAAGATAAAAAATATTGAAAGCTAACGCTAAAGCGATAACTCTTATCATAACTCTGACACTGTAAGACTGTAATGTGACAACGTTGTAAGTGAACACAATTGAAAACACTTAATAAATCAGTTCACAGGTAAAGAATCTATGTCCCGTTCAGAGGTGAACTTTCATAAATTATTCTGGTCCATCAGAACCAAAGAGGCAGAGCAGAACTCTTCTGTGCTCAGGTCTCTCTTGCAAATGAGTCCTCAAGGCTCAATGGGATTAACCTGTATAAGTAAAGGTTGAATTAATGATTAGTTGATCTGCATAACATGACTCTGGGGGGGAAGGAGCAGGGACATTTGTATTAATAGTGTAATAACATCTGACAAGGTATTAGCATTCTTTGTAGGAATGCGTATTACCCGCTGCCTTCAGGCCACTTTATAATTTAAGATTGTCTTATGGTGACAAGGTTAAAGATATGCATGCTGAATAATCCAGGTAGATACATCTAACAAGTCAGGTCCTCTGAATGGATTCTTTAGGGTTAAAGATGTTTAGGTCAAGCCTTGTAATGATGATATAGGCATGATGTGACATTGTGAGGTTTTGCAATTTAATTTGGCTACTATCACCAAAATATAGCACATCCCTTAAATTGAGTTAGAAGATATTTAAGTGCCTGCAAACTGTGGCAGCCATCTTTAAATGGGATGACTCCACATCTGTCCAGTGGTTCATGGGGTATTTGGGAAACAACAATATAGTGAAATAACTCCCACCTGTTGTAAATGGATTTTTGTACTTTTGTGTGTTGGTGGTACAAAGGCCTGGAAATTTGCAAATGAAACATTTTCTTTAGTTTGTATTGCAATCAATGCAAAAGAAAGCTGCTTGGAGTCAGAATGTTAATCAGTGTTATTGAAACATGCCTGTTTATAAAAATAAAGTCTGTTTTATATAGTCTTTTACTGTCTTGCTGATAACTGTAGAATATAAGTATTATTGCTGCTGAGAGACAAATTACAAAACTGTAAATCTGTATCATGATGGTCTTTATTTGCAAAATTAACAAAAACAAAAAAACGTGTCAGCACTTCAGCATGAACAGTTCAAGAACAAAATATTGCCGTTTGCCGATGACTGTCAGATGCAACAATCTGAGGAAAATCTGTTCCCATACATGAACTCAATTCAGTTGAATTCAGTTTGTGCCAAGTTACAAGAGTCTCAGGGCACTGAACAGAAACATTCAAATACATAAAAAGTTGACACATATCTAAAAGGACTCATTTTTTGTAATTCAATTTAAATGCTATCTATTAAATGAATGTCAAATTGAAAGCATTAACAGGTGAATACTAGTACAATATTTTGCTGTTAGATGGAACCAGTTTAATGTAATAATATATATTCAGTTTTTTAATATAGAGCCGATTCACAACAAGTCATCTCAGAGCTGTAAAAAGATCCACACATTAGAAAATGCCACTCAGTAAAGTTATCTCTGTAAGGAAGCCAGCAGAGTGGGTCGAATATTCACTTCGTCTCCAGCTCTCATCTAGAGCAGCACATTGGCGACAGTAGAAACAAACGACTCCCTTTTAACAGGAAGAAACCAGCAGAACCAGAACCATCTCCCTCAACCAGATGTGCAGAACATAACTTCTAAACATACACGACTACAAATCTTTGAGCTTTATGACTTGGAATCTCCTGAACACAGACGTGTCCACATGGAACTGCAATTCTGACAAAATCGTTTTTGTTGTTTCGAAAAAATATTCTCAAACACAGCAACCACTTCAAAAAATGGCTTTAACCACACAAAGACCCAGAGCACAGTAATAATGATGCTGGGCCTGTAGGTGGTGGTGCAACACTGCCATAACAATACAACATGAAACAGGAAATGAACAGAACGTTTGAACTATGGCTGTGAAACACAAAACATGGTTCGTGCATGTCCCCCGTTGCCGAAACATCTGAAGAGTAAAGGTTTGTCGTTTTCAGGATGACTGTTTTTCTGGACTGAAATTGAACAGGGGATGCAAGTCAACTTTAATGTTTTTGGTACAAAATATTAGGGAGTTACACTGGAGAAGAACAGGGAGGGTTTTTTTCATGCTTGTCTGAGGCAGCGCAGAGGAGCAATTTTATCACCACCAGGAGCAAGGGCGGAGCCACGGGGTGGTCAGTGGTGGCCTTTGCCACCATAGATTAATCTTCGACCATCCCAATCATTTGAGATAACTTTAGTTAGAAACTATACTTTTCTCAAATGATTGGGGTGGCTGGTTTACACACACACATATATATGTACGCGGTGGTGGCCATCTTGGATTTTGACATAGCAACCCAATTTTCAATGGTGCGCTTTTCTTACTCCTAGATGCTGTAACATCAAAATGGAAATTTGCACCCAACCCTTGTTCCCTCTTTGCTCCACGATGGCGGACGACAAGCAGAAGAGTCGCAGTGTTTCCTGTCATTCCCCGATCTGTTACAGAAGCACAATCCATAGTGTACTTCTGGGTCACCATTTATAAATAAACACCGTCTTAATTTACTTAGAAAAGTACGTGCTCTATCTCAGCCGATCTTCATGTAGCTAATTTATGCTGCTTGTATTTCTGTTAAAATCACTGGTTACGATGATATGCGACGCATTAGACCTGACCCCAGCCTGGCCTGAATGAGGAAAAACCCTGCAAGATACAGAACGAATTATTTCCATGGTGAAACAGCGCCGCTCAGTGGTGAAGCTGCGTATCATTTTAACCATGACGTAAATATGTCAACGATTTTAACAGAAAGCAACATGAAGATCGGCGGAGATAGAGCACATACTTTTCTAAGTAAATTAAGACAGTTCTTATTCATAAACGGAATTATACCAGTACATTTTCCTTAATTTAGCATATTCAACGGCGATCCATGCGACCCGAAGTATTCCTTTTAGCGCATGCACAAATTCATTCATTCAACTTTATTTAAATAGGTTAGTAAATGAGCTACACTACGGCTCGTGCTTCCGTAACATATCGGGGAATGACATCCCCTACCATTATTCAAGGAGGGCACCCCGCCTACCAACACCACCACCCCGACAACTGCCAGCACTAATGTAGTGCTAAGCTAACCAATCCCTGCGCTCCTCTACTCACCCACCCCCCAGAATGGAAAATGGAAATAAAACAGAGAAACAGCCTGATTGTTATGGTTTCTAGGCCACAAGGCTATGATGGACATGTACAAAATAGGTTAATGGTTTCTAAACAGTGGCATATATCCAGTCTAAAATGATCCAAATAGTTCCACATATCTCTAAAACATTTCTTATAAATAACTCTTCAGTTTCTATTTTTAAATTTATCTGAAGTGCTGTGGACGGGGCCTACATTCAGTCCCTGTGATGATGTAACTGCTGAGTAACTTTCTATAGGTATTCCAACTCTAAAATGCTGGAGATCATAGGTCTACAGTCTTGATTTAACTTTATATAAACATTCATCTACAATGCTAAACTTTTTTTAATTGCACAAGCTTTGAAATTTAGAAGGACCATCTGAATGCACTAAACGTTCTATTTGTCAGGGTTATTGGAGACAATGGAGACGGTGCAGTTACAAAATCAACCGTTGACTAAAGCAAAACTAGGTTGTAACCCAGGTTTTCACTCTCCTCGATAGACGATGATGTTCTTGTCTGTCTCGTGAATCCTGATCTCATGAAGCAGGTTGGCAGGAAGGATCTTTACCATGTTGTCCCAGATGTAAACAGCAACGTTTTCCGTTGTACTAATAAACAGAGGAGAAACAAAATTGGGTAAAAACAGAAGAAAAAAAATGTATTTGGTGAAAGAAAAAAAAAAAAGTCAAATCAGTTTGGGATGCTTCATACCTGACAACGTTGGCAAAATACGGGACATCTTTATCCAAGTTTTTGTGGTCCAGTGGAACCATGATAACTGTCTGTTTAAAGAGGCAGAAGGAGCATGGTGAGAAAAATAAAGCGAACGTCTTCTATTAAAAAAAAAAGACACTGAATTGGTTCAAGTATTTGGTCTCCTTGGCTCTGTGATGGACTGGAGACCTGTCCCTGTGATGGACTGAGCATCTGTCTCTGATGGACTGGAGATCTGTATCTGTGATGGACTGGAGACCTGTCCCTGTGATGGACTGGAGACCTGTC